TCTCGCCTCCCTCCCCCTCCCCTCCCCTCTCCTCTCCTCTCCTCTCTTTACCTCTCTTCTGGGCCATTAGCTCCATCACCTGCTCTTCTCCTTATATTGTCCTGGACAGAAAAGCATCTGGAGATGACTTGACCCTACCTCCCCAGCTACCTGGAGCAGAAGCCTCCATTCCAGCCGTGCTCCCTGTGGGCCAGCAGCTCCTCGGGGAGGACACAGCTCTGGTTGTGGCTTCTTAGTGGATCATGTGGCATCGATTTCACTTTATAAATAATCTTGCATGGCCTGGGTGAGAAGAAAGCAGCAGCCCCAGCTGTACAGCAGGGGGGCAGTGGGTGACTGCAGTCACGAGAGGGAGCTCTGTGGTTCTGCAGAAAGTGCTAGTGGGATGGTTCATGGCTGGGCTGCTCTGCAGAAGAGCATCTGCTGGCTGGATGGGGCAGCCTGCACTCACAGGCTGCTGAGCTCGGGTACCCCCAGGGTACCAGCAGCACCCCCGAGCCCCCTCCTGCCCTCCTCCACCCTCCTCACACCCCACACCCCCGTGGGACCTGCCTTGCTGCTTGGTTGCCCACGGAGAAGCTGCAACACAAGAGACCTCTCAGCTCCTCTGCTGTGGGACTGTTGCTCCCTGACGTGACCTGAGATATGACCTTCTTCTCCCTGCTTGCTTCTGCCTTCTGTCCTTGTCCATCCCAGGACACCCCTTGCTCACAAAGCCCACCAGACAAGCAGGAACACAGCCATCATCCCAGCAGCAGGCAGGTGCTCAGAGGAGTCCCTCTGCTGCAGCTCAGGGAACTGCACTAACTCCCCACCCAGGTGTAGTGGCTGGGATCTGCCTAAGACCTAGGACTTCTGTGGGTGCAAGGGCTGAGAAATAATCCTTCTCTTCCAAGAGGTGCCACGTGCTTTGGCCAGCTGCTGGCTGCAGGTGGGCAAGTGTGGGATTTTACCTCTCACATACCAGCCAGTGGCTTCATCCCTGGGTTATTCCTTAGCTGAGGTTTGGTCCCAATCTAATCTGCAACCAAATGTGACCACTGACACTATTTAGACACAGACATGTATCACACAGGGCAGAAATTACAGTTCTCCCCTTTTAATGTCCCAGGGACACTGAGAAATAGAACTTCCTCTACAAATTCTAGTTTCTGTGTCCCAGAGAAGGTTTAATTCCAAACAGGTAGAGTCAGGCTTGGTGAAGTCAGTGGACTAAGCTGCTCAGCCCTTTACTGTCCAGAGTCCAGGTCCATTTATGGAAATGATCAGCATTTCTGGCTCTTTCCTGGCCCACTCTGAGAACACAAATGGGGAGCTGAGGCACAATATCTTCCAGGGTTTGTATTTGTTCCATCAAGTGGCCTATCTCCTCTATATCTGCAGAGCTGTTGTTCCTCAGAGATGCACCCAAGCTTCTTCAGCACCTGTTTCAGAGGCTGAGAAACCCCAGTGATGTGTGGTCTTCCACAGAAGAGCTCCTTAGGCTCTGATTTAGGGCACAGAATTGGAGACCTTCCCTGTGAAGTACTTGTAGTTCTCAGCAACGCTGTGTCTGCAGTTTTTGGGTGTTCAGACAAGAGCCCTTCCCTGTAACCTCAGAGTGGGATGACTGGGACAGTTCCCTGCCACCCTGCTCCTCCCAGCTATGTCCAGGTCACCACCATTGGCACATGTTGTGTGTTACAGTCCCTGCATCTCCATTTTATTTCACTCACTGATTTTAATGATACATAATATAATAATTTATAATAAATACCTCTAAAACCTGAGCAGATCAGGCCAACTGTGACCCAACACACGTGCCCTCCACTCAATCTCTTCTCTGACTTTGTTTGCAAGTGATGAGGACGAGTTGAGGAAATCCCTCTCGGAGCTGGTGGACGACAAAATCGGAGCCAGTGCGAAGAAGGTGACAAGGATTGTTGACAGCAGCAACCCCTTCCTGGACATCCCCCAGGCTCTGAATGCCATCACCTACAAGCACGGTGTCCTCACACGTAAAACCCACGCAGACATGGATGGGAAGAGAAGTACGTGCTACCGGGACAGGAGGAGGTGTCCCCCAGCAGCACCAGAGCTTGGCCATGGGCTTCTGTGCTTCTGTGGCACTTGGTGCCATGGTCTGGAGATGAGGTGGTGTTGGTCATAGGCTGGGCTTGATCTTAAAGGTCTTTTCCAGCCTTGGTGATTCTGTGATTCTTCTCCCTGGCTCTCCTGCTTCCTCAGTGCATCCTAGGGAACACAAGAGAGATCCATGAGTGCCAGGGCACAGGGAGAAGAGGGTGTTTTGAGGCATTTGTAGACATGAGTGTTTTCAGGAGGCTTCAGCCTCCTCTTCTCATTGCCAGGGAACCTAACAGTGCCTGTCCCACACAGACAGACCTGGTTGGTCTTCCATCCTGTTCATGGGCATAACCCTGAATCCCACACTCTGAACTACCAGAGCAGCACATACTGGTTCCACAGTAGTTGTGCACCCCAACCCTGACCTTGGGGATAGTCTGGTCTTCAAAGCTTAGTTCCTGCCCATATTCTGCCACAGCTGCTGGAAGCAGCTGCCATGTGCTGGCTGGGCAACAGGGTCCCCCACAGCTCTGCTGTTAGCACATGGGAGTACAGGAAAGGTAAAGGAAAAGATATTTGGAATCTGTTAATGAGCAGAGATGAATGAAGCCTTGGATAACCTCTTTTGCTAATTGATATGGTTGGCCCAGTGACTTCAGCTTGACTTCTCACTCAAGAAGACCAAAGGCCTTCCCTGGTTCCAGCACTTTCTTAAGAGCCCCTGCCTGGAAGAGTAGCTGTCTGCTGGTCATGTAGATGGCTCCCTTCACCTCTCCAGTGCCCAGCAAGTTTTTTGTCCCCAGTACCATCAAGATGGCTGGTGGTAATGCTCCAGTGGAATAGAACTTGCTTTGTCCAGGGTGTGTCTGCCACACTCATCTGAAGCAGAGGAGCTCAGGGAATGTCTCTGCTCCTCAAGCATTTAGTCCAAAGAACATGACCCTGAGTTTGGAGGAGCAGAGACTTCCTGCACATGTACACAGGTACCAGCTCATCTCTGGTTTTGACCTGCTTGTGTTCCTGCTGGGAGCCTGAATCTCCCAGACCACGTCTCTCAGACAGGTGCCCCTGCAGACAATCCACTCCTAACCCATAGCTGGGGGGTGCATGAGGTCTGGGCATCAGCACATGTCTCTGCTGGATCAGGAGAAGGGTTGGTTTTGCCAGATATGTGAAGATCAAGCAGCACTGGCAGAAGCAGACATGTATAATTAAATTTTCTTCCTTTTTTAGCTCCCAGAGGAAGAAGAGGTTGGAAGAAATTTTATGCTGTGCTTAAAGGGACCATCCTTTATTTACAAAAGGTAATTGCCAGGGACTTTTCTATTTGCTGTTCCATCCTGTCTCCAAAGCAGCCATGCTGTCCTAAGCAGGAGACCTATAGATGCAAGAAGGGGTGAATCCATGTCCTAACACATGCATGGACATCTACAGAGCTCCTCCAGAGGCTGGTATACAGAACTGGAGGATGCCATCATCTTTGGTGGTGGTGGTGCTGAGGAGAGCACTGTTCACAGCCCCAAAAGTGGGCTGTACAGAAAGGTGTGTGAAAAGGGAGCACTGAGGCAAAATTTCTGCAGAAGTGTCTCAGCAAGTAGGAGCTGTTGGAGAGGGTGACTGAACAGATGATATGGAATAGGTGAAGTAGGATGTTGGTGAGATGTGCAATAGGAAGCTGAAGAGGCAGAGCATTGGAACAGTCTTATCCTGCCCATTGCTTTATTTGCTGCTGTGGATCTGATGATGAGCAGCTTTGCTGAGCCTGGTATGGACCATGCTTAAAGCTTCTCTTCTCCCTCAGGATTTTGCTGGGCTGGATCCTTCCATGAGTTGCCAAGTGACACTTTCTGCTGCTCTTCAACACTCTTCATTCAGTAGCCACCTCTAGTCAACACAAGTATAGATCCCAGGTCCTCATGGGAGGCACAGTCACCATGGAAGAGTTTCTCTGCATGCTATAACATTTCTTCTTCTTCACTGAAAGGCTTGTCAGGCATTGGAATAGTTTGCCCAGGGAGATGGTGGAGTCACCATCTCTGGAGGCATTTAAAAGGCATGTGGACCTGGTGCTTAGGGACATGGTTTAGTGGTGAGCTCGTGGTGTTAGGTCTAAGGCTGGACTGGATGACCTTGGAGGTCTCTTCCAGCCAGGGACATTCTGTGATTCTGTGACTCTGTGATTCTGCCTTTCAACACACTTTGTTGCTAGGAGGATTTCCATGGATAGCCTTTCCTGTGGGAAAATCCAAGGGCCCTGGATAGGGACTCAGCTGAATGTCAGTGTGAGCCAGCCAGGGATGCCAAGTGTCTGCTCATGGTGCAACGTCATAACCCACTGAACTAGGGCTGAACTACCTGAGCAGCACAGGCTGTGCAGTAAAGCAGTGAACTCACCTGGCTGGAGCAGCACAGCCTGTGGGTAGATGCTCCTACGCATTGCAGTGTTATCTCCAAAGCAATGAGGGTAAACAAACACTGGATTATATAAGAAAGGCAGAAAGATCCTCAGGGCAGCCTGGAGTTATGACTCAGAGCTCCTAGCACACCCCAAGGAGTCTCATGTTTTTGCAGATCCTATGTCACACGTCACAAAGCATCTGACAGCACCGGTGGTGATTTACAGCACAGGCTGCTCTCAGCCAAGTGGTGTTTTTCCAGCCTTGCCACTGGGGGCAGCTGCAGCATGCAGGAGAGCCCAAATCTTCTCCAGCCCTCCAGCTGTGGGGTTCTTCAAGCCAGTGGCACTCCTCCTGCAGTTCAGCCTCTTGTCTTGTTACAAGTCTCTGCATGAAGTCCACCAAGGAGGTCCTCATGCTGACCATAGGTGATGCATGAGGATGTCACTTCTGCAGAGCTACCATCACCATTCCATTAATATGGAGAAAAAAAACAAAAACAAACAACACAAAATGAAACAAATCAAAACCAAACAAAAAACATTTAATCAAAATCATGGGAACCACTTATTTATTTATTTATTTACTTACCAAGGACTCCTAGGGCCTGTCTCTTGGGATGGGTCTGCTGAGAGCATATATTTTTGGAATGAAATACAATGTCAGGACAGAATTTTCTTCCCATGCTGGACCAAAATCCAGTTTACTGAGATTCTCTTCACTGCTTGGGCAGCACTAGAAGGAGCTGTGAAGCCAACCCTGAGTGTCATTGCTACTGCTGGGTTTTCTTTGCTGCACAAGGCTGGCAGCAGTAACCACCCAGACTGTTAGATTAGTGTAGTTTGTTATGTTAGTCCTAGATATTTAGAATTTAAAAGGAGAGTGAGGATGAGATGATGTGGCAGTTAGAAGATGGTGTCCTTATCTAGGAGACCTTCAGGAGCAGATGGTTAAGAGGCTGATTTACAGACAAGGACTGATGAAGTAAAACACCCAAGGTTTGGCTAAGTTGTCTGATAAAGAACAGCTGTGGCTGATGTATAATTAGCAGGAGGGATCAGAATTGCAAAGGGTGCCCCAAGGAAGAAGCTTTTGCAACAACAAAAATTAACCTGAGGAATATTTAAGCAAAAGAACTGGATGAAGAGGGGTTTCTTAGTCATGAGCTGCTGCCAGCCTGTATGTGAACCTGTTCAGAGGGTTCCTGGGGCTGGGCTTGGCTGTAGGCAGTGCCAGCCTTGCAGAGACAGGACAGAAAGATGCAGTGACCACGTCCTTACCTTGCCACTTTCAAACATTCCCAGCACCACAGCAGAGAGTGGATAAACATCCACCTGCCCTGTCGATTCTTAGTGAAATTCCTGGCCTGGGGGTGGGTTGTGGAACGAGGGAGTTTCACAATACAGGAAGGAAATGGTGTGCCAGCCTCCCAAGCTCTCAGCAGAAGATGCCTGCAGATAAACATGAACTAGAACCTGGCTTGAGCACAAATGACTGAGGAAAGGTTTTTCTCATGTGAAGGTAGAGAAGAAAGTACCTGCTTCCAGACCTGCTTGAGCCATGAAGCAGAGGTTCAGCCTGTTCCAGTTTTTTGCTCAGACCAAACCAAGGATCTTTAATAGGAAATTCCTGTAAGTTTAATAGGAAACTCTACTTGGTTTGGTTTTGAGCAGCAAGCTGAGTAGAAATAAGAGTGAGAGAGAGGGAAGGAAAGGGGGAAGAAGGGCTTGGGCAATAGATGTGTAGAAAGGAGGAATGGACAGAAAGAGAGAGAGGCAGACATAAGGCAGGCAGAAAAAACAAGTCAGGCAGCAGCCATAAACCTGCTGATGTAGAGATGTCACATGTCATTGAGTCTCCCATGTTAATTACTGGATTAGCATGTTCTAGCATAGTCTGCTGAAGCAATTGCTTGATACCCCCAAAGGGATGCAGGAGGTGTTGAGGAAGAAATGCAGGTTTGGGAGCAGGGCCCCCCCTCTTCTGTTCTCTGATCTGCACTGGGCACTGACTCACTCCATGGCCTTTGGCAACTGTACTTCACCTCTGTGAAATGGGGATAATAACCCTTAATCAGCACACACAGAGGGGTGTTGAGAGGAATTATGGAGAGCTGTAAAGCATGAGATGTTTTTATATGGAAGTACTGGAAAGGGTGCAGATCTTCCCACAGGGTCTGCCCTTGCAGCCCTCAGCCCAGAAGGAGCTTCCAGCTTCCAGCCCAGCCCCATCCTGTCCCATGCAGGCAGGTCCAGCCATGGTGGAGCTTCTTGGAGGGTCAAGCTCATGGCCAGACTGAAAAGGGTGCAGTGGTTAATTTCCATTAGTAAATGGTTTGTTTAGGCTGGTAGGTGTGAGCTGAATAAAAGGAAAAAGAGGAAAACTGACTCTCAGTTCAGACCATGAGAATGTCTGTAGCTCCATGTCCATCTTCACATCACTGCTCAAGGCTGGTGCTGAGCTCAGAGGAGATGGCAGCAGGACCACTGGGCTCCCTCACCTCATCCAGGTGCCCTCCAAAGGCAGCTACAAGAGATAGGTGCTTTTTTTCTGACAAGACAAGCTTTGATCTGAGGAGTTCCCATTAGTTGTGGATGTCCCAGCAGCTGCTCATGTGAGCATGAACCAAAAAGTGAACCAAAGACACCACGGAACACTGTCATGGCAGAAATTAAGCCTGGGGGCTTAATTAAAGCAAGGGGGTGGTCACACATGCTTAAGCAGAGCGTTTGTGCAGGCAGGAGAGGCACATGAGCAGGGATTGTGCCTATATCAGCAACATTAACATATAAAAGTGAATTAAATTAATTTAGGGGGATTCTGAAACAAAACATCCACACCTGGGCTCAATTGCTGCAGAGAATATCCCCAAAACAGACCCCCAACATTGCTGAGCCCCCACCATTAAACATCTGGAGAAGCAAGGGAAAAATAAACATGTCACAATTCAAGGCTAGAGGCTGAGGGTAACTGGAGTGGTGTGGCACAGCATTCTTTGCCCGTGTCTGAGTGACAAGTATCCATGTGAACAGTGCAGGACACATGAGACAAAAATCAGAGTGCCCTGTGATACCACAGGAACCCTTTTTTCCAGGAATTGCATGGCAGGATAACACCATGCAAAAGGTGAGAGTGAGGTTAGCAGCACTATAGGGTGGGCAAAACATTGCCTGAAGTTCCTCCAAGTCTGATACTGGTTCTGTTTTAGCAAAGATCAGTTTCTTTGCAAGTTACACCAGCATCTCTTCACTGGAGATGTCTGTTTTACTGTTATGGCTTTGGTCATGTCTCTTCCTCAGCAGCATCTTATGAACTTACACTGAACATCAAAGCCCACAAAGGGAGGGAGGCAACATGTAGAGAAGCTCCTGGAGATTTTGGAGCAGAGTTGCCATTCTTTGCTGAGGGGCAATGGGATTAGCCTCCAGGGAAGGCTATTTGATGTAGCCTACACCAGGGTGTAGGTGCTGGGCCCAAGTAGGCTCCAGCTGTGTGGTTCCCCACATGGGTAGCCTTGCCCATCACTGGGGCTGTCACAGCCCAAGCACTGAGATGAGCTGCAGAGATGGCCCATGCAGAACCAAATCTCCAACACCCTGCACTCCTCCAAAAAAAACCCATTCCCACCAGCAGGGAGGCAGAGAGAACCTGCTTGAGTCATCTTTACAATGCTTTATGGGCTTTTCCTTGAGCCTCAAATGATCCCTGTGAGCCTGAAATCAGTAGAGGCAATACCTGATGATACCAACCAAGGTGAAGACCTGCATTAGTCAAACCAGTTTTCAGCCCTGGCAGTGTCTCATCTTGACATGCCATTAAGCCTGGCTATTTGCACTGTATTTTCAGAAAGCTTATCTTTAAATAAGGGTTCATGGGCATTACAGATTTATTCCAATCCAAAGAGCTTCAGCCTTGGAAAAATATTCAGAACTGGAAGTCTCCACAGTAAATAAGGCCTGAGCAGCAATGTCTTCCTCAAGCAACAATTTGTCTTCAAATGGGATGACATATTATATCCTCATAAGGCAAAGCATTTGTTTTTGTTTGTTAAAAGGTTACAAGCCCATTCCTCTTGCTACTGAAATCCCTCCCTGCTGTGGAAAGGTCCCCTGCAGCACAGCCCAGCTGCGTGTCACCCTGAATGCACCCACCCCTTCCTCTGCAGGGAAGCCAGGGCTTTTCTTTGGAATTCACCCTGAAGAAGGCAGTTGCATGATCCAGGAGCCCATGCCAGACATTGCTGGGCTCTGGGCCCTCTGGCATTTTTTTGAACAAGACCAAGTATCACTCGCCAGGGAAGAGAGTATGGCAACCACTCTCCAGGATGGGATGATTGCCTCAAGAAAGAAGGGAAGGAAAGGCTCCAGAAGGTTATTTCCCATCAGAAGCAAGGGTCTGGGTGATCCAAACCCATGGGCAGGGGAGTGCTGGTTCCTGGTACTCTGAAGAGTAACAGCAGGGAGGCTTTTCTGACCCTTTGTCAGAGAATAGCCTTACTGATCAGGGTCAGCCCTCAGGAGATAAGGCTTTTCCTCCAACAGCTGGATTTGTACCACCAGGACACAGAAGAAAAGCATCTTTTTGCAAACATGCAGAGAAGATCAACCTGTAGCTTGAAATCTAAGGAGGGGCTGGGACACATCAACCAGCACCATGGGACCCAACCACCCTTGTGCTGGCAGCCAAGGGCAGTCAAGGAATGCAGAGCATGAGTGAATTAGCCCTGTAGGTTTGCACTGTACTCAGCAGGGCAAGACAAGCCCTTCTGGGGATACCCGACCTGACATGGACTCTAAAATGCTTGGCATGGTAGGGTGGCAGCTTGTTTTTTAGCCAGGGCCAGGTTTTCTTGCACCCACCTACACAAGCATGCATCCATCTGCCCATCCTTCCATTGTACCACCCAGCTGGGCCAGCTATTGAGCTGGCAAGGGCACTGAGTGGGAGGGAGGGTATTGCTGGCAGTGCCAGGAGTTCAGTCATTGGAAAAGCAAAGTGTACATACAGAATTGATTCAACTCCTTTTTTTTTTTTTTCTCCCTAAAAAGTGCTGTGCCAAGATCATCCTTCCAAAATCCCATGTTTGGTACTTTCTATCTGTTTATAAATATAAATGTATATAGTTGTTGCTAGCTTCCCTATTTGTGTGAAATTATCCTTCAGTGGAGAAAGGGAAGCAGGAATCCAGGGAACACTGCTGCCATTGGCAAGTGTCAGTCTAAAGAACTGCATGACAGACCATGCCAAAGGGGCACATGCACTGGAGAGAGACCAAGCACAGTTCAGGTGGGCTGCACTCAGTCTGGCAACCTCCCAGCAAGCTCTGCTCCTGCACTGGGGTGTGCTGGCTTTGGGAATGCTGCTGTTCCAGGGCTGCCCCAGATGGTGCAAACCCCAAGCCTGGTTCCTCTGTCACACAAAGCTGCAGCACCAGGACAGGCACTTGCAATACCAGCTGATGACCAAGAGTTGCATCCTGGTTTGAGCTCTGTGCTGTGGGTGAAGTGCTGCAGAAACCTGGCCCTGTCTTGTGCCTTCCCCCAAAGCCTCAGGCATGTGTCGTGGTAGAGATAACTATTGATAATTATGTTGAAAACTTTCATCTCCTTCTTCGTACATTCCCAGTGAACTTAATGATGGAAGAAGTTGCCAGATGTTAATTATTATCATTATCAGCTCCTAGCATTTACTGTACAAAGCAGTGCTTCTTCTGGTCTCTGCACTCTATGATTATAGCACAGGGAGAAAGGCAAGTTCATTAAAGTAGCCCACAAATGTTAGTGCTGTCATTATCCAATTAACGTTCCTCTTCACAGGATGAATATAAACCTGACAAAGACCTCTCTGAAGTGGATTTAAAAAATGCCATCCGTGTGCACCACGCCTTAGCCACAAAAGCCTCTGACTACAGCAAGAAGTCCAACGTGCTCAAGCTGAAGACAGCTGACTGGAGAGTCTTCCTTTTCCAGGCCCCGTAAGTGCCAGCTCTTCCTGCAGAGCCTGGACAGGCAGCCTGACCTCCAGCCACCACCAGACTTCTTCCAACCTGGCCAGATCAACACACATTAGGAGACAAACCTGGGGGGAGGAAGGTGTTAAGCAGGTGATGAGGAAGGTGTTGAGGCCTGTCGGGCTGTGCCAAGGACTTGGCCATAGGGTCACAGTTTCTACCTGTCACTCTTGGTAGCTGTGTGTCAGTCCTGGAGGTCCTTTCTCATCTGTCACCAAGGTGCCCTGAGAAGAATGGGCTGGGATGTAAAGGACTCCCCTTACTAACTTCTATTGCCAGTCTGTGGAAGGGGGAAAATCTATGTGGTGAATTGGACTAAGGAGCTGATGGTTCCACTCGTCAGCTTTTGATGGGGAAACTGTCTACAGCTCATTAAAGAAGTGTCCCCAGATGGACGACAATTTCCTTCTTCCTTAGTCCATTGCAGATGACAGTTGCTGTGCTAATAAGTGTCAAGTGTGATTGAGTCACCTTCTGTTTGATGTTTTTCTTGTCTCCTGCTGAGCTAAGTGACATTGTCTGTAAGTTGGGCTGGGGTTCCAATGTCAAGCTACAGCTTGACATCTGAGCTTGTGCTGTGAAAACCCACTTTAAGGCAGGGGGAGCAGTGACTGATCAGATCTGATGGGGGACGCTGGGCAGTGTCCCATGAATGACACAAATGAGGTGTTCACTCTGCCTCATGGGACCTCTGTTGTGTGGGTCCCACTGGCCAAGGAGCAGGATGTCCTTGGCCAATGCACCACGATACCTCTCCCCAGCTGCTCAGCAGTTGCAATCAGAGCTGATGAGGAAGACAGAGCTGCTAGGGCTGCAAGAGGCAGACAACAGCCTTGAAATCCTTAGGGCACTGGAGGGGAGACAATTAGCCAGTCATTTCCTCTGCTCACAGCCCAGCATGGCAGAGAAATGGCTTCAAAGCAAGGCCACCAACAGTCCTGAAAGCAGGAGCTCCAGGGCTGTTCTGAGCTGGCTGGCCTCGTGTCAGGAGCTTTTACAGACACTGTCTCTCTTCTTCCCCCCCTCCATAACAGAAGTAAGGAAGAAATGCTTTCCTGGATCCTGCGAATCAACCTTGTTGCTGCCATCTTCTCTGCCCCAGCCTTCCCAGCTGCCATCTGCTCCATGAAGAAGTTCTGCCGCCCACTCCTGCCCTCCTCCATGACCAAGCTATGCCAGGTAAGACGTGAGGAGAGGAGCCTGGTGCTCAGCCAGCCCTGCAGCACACAGCCCGGGCTGTGCCCATCTGCAGCTCCCCACCTCCTGCCTGGCAGACACAGTCTCAGGGCAGGAGTGGAGCAGGCGACTTGGACAGATGGTGGCAAATCTCAGTGTCTGGCCAGTGCTCCCTTTCCAATGGCTATAAAGCCACTCTATGCCCACACACTGCCTGGAGGGTGTTGATTCTGGCTTGTTTGTGCTCTCTTCCCATCACATCCCAGCACCTTTCTGGAGCTGGAGTGGGAACAGCCAATGCCACTGAGCCCAGCAGATTGGCTACGGCCCTGATAACACAGCACTCAGAGGTGGCAGCCTCTTGTTTCTCAAGCCAAAAAGCCAAAGAAAAAGGGGGAACCTGAGTCCCCACTCAGTGGGAAGGTTTTCTAGAAGTGAAGGGGCACAGTGCACCAGACCATGGCTGCCTAAGGTTCAGGTAACCGAGAGAAATGGGCAGCTGCTGTCCAAAGAGTAGCTTTTGTTTGCACAGTCCAGGGAAAGTCCAACTTGCCTTAGCACCTCCAGAAAGCAGGGACACACTGACTCTGGCTCCTAGCAAAGGAGAGGACATCCTGAAATGTTAGGGCAGAGATGCAGCTCTTATCTGCTGAGCCACATGTGGCCAGATGTCACCTTTCACAGAGCCCAGATGGGAAGGGTACTTCTATCTTAAAAAAAGCAGGGTTAGCAGCTCTTGGGACACTTCTGGTTCTGCCTGGCTGTTAAAGAGTGCAGAGCATTTTGTGTTCATGATGCTATAGAAGTCCAGGTACCAGAGAAATCCACCCTTGGCACTTGTGATGCATGAGGTTTGGTGTTACCCATCTACCTGCATTTCAGCTGCTCCTTCTCAGGTGAATTTGCAAATGATCTGCACACCTTTGGCTGAGTTTGCCTTGGCAGCAGCTAAGCTTCTGTCCTGGCTGAGACAGATCCCACTTCCACAGGCAGGCAGTGCACTTGGGTGCTGCACTCCCGTGTTTTAATTCCTGACCCACTTCTCTTGGCAGGAGGAACAGCTGAGGTCTCATGAAAATAAAATGAAGCAGATTGCAGACGAATTAGCAGAGCATAAATTACATCCTGTAGAGAAGAGCCTCAAGTCAAAAGAGGCTGAGGAATACAGACTCAAAGAACATTACCTAATATTTGAGGTAAAGGAACTTTTCTATTTTCTGTGATAAATTGTGCCTTGTCTGGTTGAGGAGAACTAAGAACTCCAGACTGGATGCTGTAAACTGGGAGAGTCTGAAATGAGAGAGAAGGATGAGGGTTCCCAAGCTGACAAGTGTCTTGGGGCAGCAGCAGCATTAGCACTGAAGCTAAAAAAAGAACAGATATTTCCTCCCCTCTGTGATTTCTAACCAGAGGAGAAGAAAACTGATAAGAGAAATAAAATCTTCCTTTACTGTGCCGAAACCTGACATTTCCTCAGGTCCCAAGTAAGAAAGCTGTTCAGTTCTTGGCATGCATTATTCTTTTTCAACAACATTAATGAAAAGCTAAGGGAATCTCTGGTGAAGCTAAAAAAAGAACAGATATTTCCTCCCCTCTGTGATTTCTAACCAGAGGAGAAGAAAACTGATAAGAGAAATAAAATCTTCCTTTACTGTGCCGAAACCTGACATTTCCTCAGGTCCCAAGTAAGAAAGCTGTTCAGTTCTTGGCATGCATTATTCTTTTTCAACAACATTAATGAAAAGCTAAGGGAATCTCTGGGAGAATTCATTTTGGTTTGCTGCAACTGCTGCTGTAAATGAAGTCAAACCAGTGTTACAGCTGATTACAGACTCTGAGGATGCATGCAGCTAATTTAAACTCTCTGCAAAGTCTAAGAAGCATTAAATTCTGGGAGAAATGGGATATTTTGTTCCAGTGGGAGTTGAGCTGAGAGTGTGAGTCCTGTCACAGAGGTGTCAGAAGGGAGAGACTGCTGGAGGCCTCTAGTCCTGCTTCCAGCAGGAGCTTGGATTAATCCTGTATTAGTCCAAGTTGAGTGTCTCAGAAATCTCCAAGGATGGATATGTCCCATCTCCCAAATACCAGGGCTGCACCACCCTTTTGTGTAATGCACAGCCTGACTCTCCAAAGCCACAGACTCTGGTTGCTAGTTCCCTTCTCTTTGTACCAACTCTTCAAGTAGTTGCTTGCTGCTGCCTCCTGTTTTCCAGACATCTTGTTTTGGGTGCCTGCTGAGAAGTCTCCATCTCAGCGTTTTCTCTAGGCTGCTTTTTCAGCCTTGCAAAGACAAGTTGGCACTTTCAGAGCATAATTAATCTCATCTGTCTTATGAGTTGTGCTCTAGAAATGCTTGTTTCTCTCTGCTGGTAAAGAAGCCAGTATAGGCTGCGTCTGTGTTAGGAGAAAGGTTGAGTATTACACAAGTCTATAAAAAGAGGTCCCATCTAGACTTGGTGTCAGGCAGAGAGGAGATGCTTCCCTTTATGCTGTGCTCTGGGAGGAGCAGTAGCAAATGAGTCACTGGATGGAAACCATGGAAAGCTGAAGCAGTTTAATCAATTGAGGGAAACTCCTAAATCAGGAAGGAGCAGATCTGTTGGTCTGGTTTTGCCTCCAGGATCCACCTTAGAGCAGCAGCCAAGACCTGTAAGAGCAACTGGAGAGTCTTGCACAACACTCCCCATTCTCCTCAACCCTTTCAATGATGGGTTGATCAGTCTTTGCAGGCTCATCATAGCCTAGGCATTGTGCTGTGGGTGAACAGTCCTTGTTGGGTGTGATTAGTGGGATACTGAGGATATAAGACAGGTTTTCCTGCAGTAGCATATGGCATTGCCTCTGCTTTCCACACGTTCCATGGCTTGCCCCTGTTCCCAGACTCTCTGTTCCCTCTTTCCCTGCAGAAGAGTCGCTATGAGACATACATCAACCTGCTGTGCATGAAGATAAAAGTTGGGACAGATGACCTGGAAAGAATTGAAACCAGTTTCTTCAAGGTGGAGGCTGATGATGTTGCTTTGCGGAAGACACACTCAAGCCCTTCCTTGAGCCAAGGGCACATGTCCATCAGCTGTAAGGTGGAAAAGGACATTTTAGATCAGAACACCTAACAAAGAACACATGCAGGAGGGGAATCAACCGGCGATGTTTGGCGCTCCTGGACTAGATCAATGAGCACAATTTTATCTAGGAAATTATGTGAGCAAATCGTAGCCATGTATGACACAGTGATTGCTCTAGTGAAAGAAATCAAAGCAGCTTCAGCTGACACTCTGGCAACACTGGCATTTCAACATCATAGACACACTATCTCTTCTTCATTCCCAACAGAACCAATGGCTTTCTTTCCGTCCTACTGCAGCGGGCACAACAAAGGGATGTGCTGGTTCTCCAAGGGCCAGGTTGCTCTTGTCCACCAGCCCTGTCTCTCCTCCTCCTTCTCTCCCTGGAATCCCCACCAGTTCATGGTCACAGTTCCCAGCAGTGCAGGAAACTCAGCTAAGAGTCTGTGGCACCACCAGCACTCCCAGAGAAGGGCACAGAGTGGTGGGGAGCATGTCCCTCCCCTGAGAGGAGCACAACCCAGAACATCACATTAGGGTGGGTGTCATGGGCTTGCTACTGTTTAAGGAAGGGGCATCTTCAGCATGGCAAGTGGAACATCGTCTGCCCATGGCAGGAGAGGCTTGAAGTGCCCTCTGTCACCTTATCCTTTATATATATATATAAACACATATGAATATATATAAATAAATATATATATAAGGAAACCTTGATGTGGGTTTTTAACCTCAATGTGCAAGTGAAGGCAAACTGCCTGGGGAAGACACTAGAGACCATGGAGGGTCTGACCAGCCCACCAGGATGTTTTGAAAAAATGAAAAATGCAGTAGCCTATGTATATATATTTTTTTTCCTTCTTTTTTTACTCGAATGGAAATCCCATCTGGCTTGACTGTGAAACATTGCTCTCCTGCTCCTGCTTGGTCAGACAAAGTGGCCAAGTGGCTGCTTATTTCACATCCATGGCATCTGCCACTTTGGGTTTGAGGCACAACTGGAGATGTGCTTCAGATCCAGCTGAACTTTTTGTGTGCAGGAGTGATTACACCTGCTCATCCATGTTGTACTTCTCCCTTTTGTGATGCACATGCTGTACTCTTTGAAGCGGGGAATTGTGTTTCTGTTCCTTTCTGCTGTCTGTGGTCCAATGATTTACTGTTGTGCTCCAAGTGATTCCTCTGCATCTCAATGCTGTGACTGTCCTACACTTTATTTATTTCACTCTTTGGTTTTGTCCTTTATCTCAGATTGCTTTTCTTTCCCCCAGGTGCATTCATAGTGATCAAGTTCCAGTTTTGAAGGATCTTGTAGCTGCTAATTACAGTCATTTATTGTTTCTATTTTGCAGCATTTTTTAAACAAACAAGTAAGATTTACTTGGACCTTCAATGCCTGAGAGCCTATGGACTACAGTTTTCCATGATGGTTCATGACACTAAAAACCTCTTCCCAACTTTGTCACTTCTTCTTTTATCTCTTTTCCTTTGTACAGTTTGATAGTTTATTTGAAATTATGCACTAAGAACCATGTAAAAGAAAGAGTAACAATAAAGCAGAATCTGTTGGTAAAGAGAATTGGTCTGAAGTACAGTTCCACTGGGTGCTGAATTGCTCCCAGGCCTCATGTCACTAGATGGCCAGGATGACACAGATCTCCACCAGCACCTGCTAATGAAAGCCAGGTTCCTATAGGCAGACAGCACCAGAAAATCACAATGCCTTTCTTTGGTGGGTACCAGCCCTCCCATCCTCCAGGGTGCTGGAAGAACTGGCCTGAGCCTGCTTTGGATGGATGACTCCTCCATGGAGCAGGTGTGGATAGATGGGCTGCTTCAGGAGCACACCCAGGTAGCTCTTCCTTCTCTCTGATGCAGCCCCAGTCTGCCTGTCCACGTGTGACCTAGATGTTTATGGGAGGAGGATGATTCCAACATCTGCATTGGTAGTTGGAGATGTTCCCAGAGGAGCCCGAGTGTCACGGCTGTTTCTCCAAGGCATCACACACTTTGCTGTGTCAGGCACTGTAGACATTCCTTGCACTGAAGACCTCCAAGATGCTGCTACTCACAGGAAGTGTCTGGTGCCCAGACTCTGACAGTTGAAGCCTGGGGGAAAGCCAGGCCTGACTACTCTTGCTCTCCAAAATACCAGGTAATATTTAGAACCTCAGCCAGTCCTTTCTGTCCATCCCCTCCAAAAGGCAGTGACATCTCCAGTGTGTTTGAGGAAGTCACCAAGAGCAGCTCATCCTCTCCTGTTGAAGGTGCCAGTCTGCCATCCTCAGCTGGGAGTTATCTGTGGGGAAAAGCAGGATCTTGCAAAGTCTCCTCTGGGCACCAGGAAAGGGCTCAGCCATGAAACTCACCACGCAGTGGATGGGAAGGGGTGACAGCTGATATGAAACAGCCCTTGGCAAAGCAGCTGAGAGGGTGAAACTTGCACTTACTGGCAACCAGAAGTTTGCCTTGATGGGCAAGTGCTGACACAGGTTAATATGCATGTGCAGATATGTTGAGCATCTCACCTACAAGAGGGCACTGAGAACACCCAAAAATAGCTTGATCCATCCACCTGCAGCCTCAGCTTGTGACCAGGAGGAAAATGCTTTTATTTTCTCGCCCTTTCCCTCCCTGGAGGTGATGGGCTGGGACACCCACCACTAAGAGAGAAGAGCAACATCTCAGAGGGATTCAACAGCCACATCCTTTTATCCTCCCGGAGACACCCAAATGCACTTCCTGGCACGGCCACAGCCTGTGCCAGGCTCTCCAGAGGGCAGCACAGCAGCTCCGGGGCTTGGATCCCCTGACCATGCTGCTTCAGCCTGTCCTTCCTGCCAGGCCCCTTCTCCTGGCCACACCAAATTCATTCCAGAGGGACTGTTTTTGAGGGAGAGGGGCTTTGCAATCCCAAAGCCAGGATGTGACACACCCCATCGGTGCCAGTGGAGTGATTCTCTCCTCTCTGGGAAGGGTGGCAAAGGCACCACACGCCAGGCAGAGCTGGCAGGAGGCTTTGATCATGTCCCCCATCTTCCCCTCCCCATGAAAACTGCTGTGAAATATTTACGACCAGGAACACACATGGTTGGAAGTGAGGGATCTAAAAATAAACCAGCCAGGGAAAAAGGAGAGAGATTCAAGCTTCCTTCAGAGAAAATTGGAGAGAAAATTGAAGTGGTGTAGCTGCCTCCAAATATAGAACGCAATTATGGGAATGGGGGCAAGTTGAGCAAGAAATGACTGCAGGAAGCCATGGCTCAGAGCCAGACGTGTCTCAGCAGATGCAGAGCATCAGAGAGCTCTAAGCAGTAAAACCTCCCCCTGCGCTGGGCAGACCTGCAGCTCCTCCTGAGGGACCTGGAGGCCAGACACCCCCAGGGATGCAGCAGCTCCACCGCAGCACCCCGAGGTTCAGCCACCCCGTCACTCTGCAGCCCAGCCCAGGGGCTGGCAGCAGGAGACCCAACATCTGTAGCCTTCTCATAATGGAGATGCTGCTGTGCCAGCCCCAGCTGGACTTCTCCATGAACCGAGTTCGTCAGTTCACGGGTACTGAAGAGACCCAAGCAGAGAGATGGGACTGCTTTGGGAACCCTATGAGCCCCCCATCTCTCTCTTCTACACGGCTGGTTTCCCCAGGGATCAGATGTCTCCCATTATGAAGTCTCCATTTATGACGTCGCCCATTATGGCATCTCCCATCATGACGTCTCTCTTCGTTGTGTCTTCCATTGTGACGTCACCAATGACGACGTTTCCTTTTATGACATCACCCATTATGACATCTTCCATTATGACATCACCCATTAGGATGTCACCCATTATGACATCTCCTTTTACAACGTTGCCCATTATGATGTTGCTCTACGAAGTCCCCCCTTATGATGTTGTCTATTATGACACCTTCCAATACGAAGTCTCCACTTATGACCTGTGTTATGTCACCCATTATGACCTCAGTGCCCTCCTACACGTGTCCCTTTGAGGGAATCAGGTGCTCTCTGCCCATTCCTGTCCATTTCACCCCACTCCAGAAGAAGGTGAGCTGGGGAACCAAAGGCTCTGGGGAGTAACAAGAGGGTGGAGACCTGCACGGTCCTGCTGCCTCGATACAGCAATGCCTGAGCTGCACAACTGGGACTTCACTCTACCACCCTTATCCCCAGTCCTAGACATCTGAAACCTCTTTTGCACATTGCTGTTGGGTCACATGGGCCTGTGGCAGGAGGGCAGGATCCTTCAGCCTTTCATCTTTTGGGAAATCATGGTTGAGCCGTCTTTATTCAGGGTGAAATGCTGAGCCCTCTGGTCTGGCTGGAGTCCTCACAGCACATGCCATGGACATTAGGGATGGCCTGGGACCCAGGCAGGTCAGCTCCAAGGCACTGGGCACCCTGGAAGTGCTGGAGCAGAAGAAGCCCAGGCTTCAGGTGTTCTCAGCATGGCCTTCAACGTGGGCACATTTGTGAGGACCAGGGACTTCTTCCTATAGGGTTGACTCAGACCAGTGTGTAGCAGATCCCTCTCCTTCAGGGTGAGTTCTGCTGGGACTTTTGGGCACCTATTCAACTCACTGAGCAGGAACAAGACACTGAGCCCTGGGTGCAACCTCAGGAACTTCCTGTAACTACAGCATGTTCTCAGTCATCCCCCTATGTGAGGAGCTAACCAGAGACACAGACTTGCCACGGAAGAGCTGAAGAAGGGGCCTGCTCTGTGGGTCAGCAGATGTTGCATGGTGTCACAGCACCTGCAGAATTGGGCCAAATACATCTCCCTCTGCTGAAAAATTACTGAAATAGGTGCCAGCCTGTGGAGCATGTGCCATGCACCTTGACCTTTCCTGGCACAACAGAAAGCTTCCACAGGCGGGGTGAGGTGGATCTCCCAGTCTGCAGGTGGAGGAAGAACAGCATCCCCCCAGGAGATGTGTAGGTAGCATGTATTCACCTCAGTGAGCTTCTGCTCCTGAGATCTGCTGTGGAGGTAAAATGTCCAAGCCAGGCAGAAAAAAACCCATCTCTGGATCTCTACAGGCATAAAGATATTTAAGAAACTGAAACATTGTCCATCTGAGGAGAGGCTGAGTGAGGTGGGACTGTTCAGCCGGGAGAAGAGAAGGCTCAGGGGCACCTTATCCTTGTGTATAAATACCTGATGGGAGGCAATGAAGAAGAGGGAGATGGACTCTTCTCAGTGGTGCCCAGTAACAAGACCAGAGGGAATGGGCACAAATTAAAACACTGGAAGTTTAGTCTGAAGACAAGAAAGCAATCTTGCTTTGAGGATGACCAATCACTGACAGAGGTTGCCCTTCTTTGGTGGTTGTGGTGTCATCATCCCTGGAGATACTAAAAAGTCTTGGGCAACTGGCTCTGCGTGACCTGGTTGAGCAGAGGGGTTGGAGCCTTCCTCAGGCTTTTCCAACCTCAACCCATCTGTGATTCTGTGCATGGTACCTGCTGTCACAGCTCCCCATTGGCCCCCTAAATTGCCTGAGATTAAAGCAGCCCACAGCTTGATATTTCTTATTTTATTTATAATATAAAAAATGTTCAAGTGTTAAACAGTCGAGAGTTCTGACATTCAGACAATCCAGAGCAAACTTTGACAATCATCTTATGACAAATTAGTGGAGTTTTCTATCTGACCCCATCATGGGTGAGGAATAGAGGATTTAGTTACTTTATTGCTAAAAGTTAAATGAAATACACTGTCAATTGTTGTATTATCTTCTCAGTCACAGCTTCACCATGCATCCGATCTACAGTATCTGAAATGCAAAGGACATGCAGAAGTAAAAATATAAAAAGAAAAAGTCAGGCTACAATGTAAACAGGTTTGCTGCAGAGAACTGAGGAGAGAGGGGCACTTCCAGGGGATGCTCTGCTGCCCGGACATGCAGGACTGTCTCTTTGCACACAGAGCCAATGGCCAGAGCTGCTCCAGGTTCAGAAATGTGACGTCCATCGTCGGTGGCAGGACAAGTCGGTAACAACTGCCTTTACCAAACGTGGCACAGCGGTACGGGGCAATCTGCTGGCCGGGCTGCCCTGCACGGGGCCCTTCCTGGCGGGACCAGAAGTGCTGGGTCTCCTGCCAGCCCTGGGGCAGCCCAACCCGCCGCCGCCCAGCACAGTACCCAGTGGCCGTGCGATGCTGCGGGTCCACACTCCCGGGGTCCTGTCAGCTCCCCCGGGCTGAGCTGAGCCCGGCAGGCAGGACGCTCAGCCCAGCAGCACCACAGCATGTGGGGCAATGCTGCCCCACAGCTGCAGGCTCAGCCAAGGGGACACTGCAGTCAGCACAGCCCTGGCACAGCCACCAGGCACTGCAGCTGGATGGCGCCCACCCGGGGCCAACCTGCCAGGATCCAACCACATGGGATGGGATGTGATTTCACCACCTCCATACTGGTTTCTGCCTTGCCTGACCCCCAGCTGGCACAAACCCAGCGTCAGACCCACAGGTGACATGGCCACAGCCTGGCAGCTGTATTGCAAGAGCTGCTGCTGCTGCACCGCTTCATGTTCTCTCCCTGCCTGTGTGGCAAAAGAAACATCATTTCTGCATTTCAGTACAGTGCTGTTGGGTTTCTTTTTCTCCTGATTTAAGCAACAATACAATTATTTCACAGGGCACGACAGAGCCCTGTTGGACATGACAATGGAATGCTCCCACTCATGTCCTTGATGTGTGTTTAAATGATACCTTAAAGAATAAGATCATTAATAGCAGGGTGTGGGGCAAAGTGGCAGGGCTGCTTTCTCCCAACGGGAGAGTGCCCTTGTGACACGTTGGCTCCCAAACAAAAATCTATGATCTTAAAATTGCTACTGAAACAGAATCCTCGGCATGAATCCCAGCACTAGCATACAGCAAAAGGCACCACGATAGTTTTGTTTTCTATTTTTAAGTAGTCAAAAATTGGCCCACTTTTTTTTTTTTTTACTTTATTGTTTGTTTCCTTTTCTTCTTCTGTTTCTTTTTTTTTTTCTTTTTTACTTTTTTTTTCTCAGAAGCTGTAAATCAAGACATTACATATAAATAGAGATTCCCTATAAAAAAGTCATTGCCGTTAGCTATTATAAGACAACTTTGCTAAAATGAAAATAAAACATTTTATTCGTTATATTTTTTTTTCTTTTTTTTTTCCCCCTCTTTTATAGAAAATAAAAATATTTCTTTTTGTTTGTTCCGTTGTGTTTCCGATTCCCTCCTCCATGCGGGTTCTGTCTGCGGGTTGGCAGGCTTGGGTGGGTTGGGTGGGGGGGTTGTCCTAGAGGTGCTCCAGGTCCGGTTTGGGGGTGCCATGTGGCAGGCCGGCCCGGGCACCCCCCCCACG